CAGAATAATAAATGCCTGGGAAAGAAAGATAAACAGCGAAAAGTTTCACAAAACAAAACAAAAAGAAGACTCAAAAATGAAATACATCAGTTTCCCTTATATCAAAGGATTGCACGAAGAAATAGACAAAGAAACAAGAAAGATCAACATAAAACTCGTATCAAAATATGAAAAACTATCGTCTAGAATTAAAGCCAAACAACCAACGAAGAAAAAGAAAAAACCGCTAGAAGAAACAAAAAACGTAGTATACAAGATCCCGTGTACCTGTAATGATACCAAGTTCTACATAGGAGAAACTAAACGAAAATTAAAAGTGTGACTTAAAGAACATTTAGCAGATCTGAAATATCACAGACTGAACTCTGCCTTCCACGATCACTGCACATTAAATGACTGCAATATAGACCAAAGTAATATAAAAATTTTACATAGAGAAACAGAAACATGAAACAGAAAATTTAAAGAAAGTGTAGAAATCATTAAAAGTAAAAACTGTATAAATAATAATTTAAGCATAAAAACAAGTGAAAATTGGTTTAGGGTATTGTGAAAGGAATTTGAAAAATGTAAAAATTGAAAGAATTTTTTATAATTTTCATAATTTTTTTATAAAAGTTTTTATAATTTTTATAATCAATCATGAACTAACCTCTTTACCACGTAAAAACATGCTATTTAGAATGAAGCTGCGTAGTAAAAGTGGTAGTTGACAGTATAAAGTAAAGCTAACGAGGATTTATATCTGTGTTTTATTTAGTAAACATGAATTTTTTATGTAACAGTAAAAGACAGAATTTGATTTGAAACTTAATATCATATTGCATCTTAACATTTTACGTACTGTATGTATTTTTTTAAATATAATTTTAGTTGGCTGAAGAGGGCATGTTAGGCCCGAAACGTGTATTTTCAACAAGTATCAAGTGAACTAAATAAAAATGATAGAACGCAAAGTGTTTGAATTTATTACACTACATAGTGTTTAAGAATCAAAAGTAATACTATAGTCTAGTTGAAACTAATGAATTGATAAACGAGAAATCTCGTCTAAAGCTAAAAAGAGTGAGGACCCACAAGACATTTGGGACATGAAAGACCATGACTATATCTTGAAAATTTGCCGGGGGGGAAAAAGATAAACGTACTACTTTTGAGTAACCTTCACTCGCAAGAGGGCATTAAAACAGACAATAAAAAGATATCAGACTCGGCAATCTTTTGAAAGACAATGTACTAAGTAGACACTCGATCAAGTGTTCAGAAAGTACAGTGTAAAAACACGAAGTCGTTATTGGGCTACGCAGATTTGACGCTGCTCTCATAAACACAGGGAAGCTCATCTTCAACTGAATGGTAACAGACAACAACATTTTTCGCCTGAACTTTATCTTGCAGATGGAAGCAGAACCAAGTTGAGAAAAGAAAAGAAAACCTGATAAAACATCGATAGTCTGATAAAACATCGTTTACTTTTGTAAACGGGGACATCTCTTTACTTTCAGAAAAGAGGCACCCTCGTCAACAGTCGCAGTGGGCACACGTGCCAAAAGTAAAAGAACCTAAAGATTCATGTTTAGGATGAGAAAAGTTTTTTGAGGAATTTTTATGAAAATGTCAAAATGCGTGTTTTGCAAGGATTGTGTATAAATAAGCTTCGAAAAAACCTTTTACTTTCTTTTATTTTTATGTGTTTATTTTGATTTTTAATAATTTTTTAATTCTATTACATATGGATGCGTAGGAATAACGAAGAATGTTTCAGAAAAATGTTTTTGCTTCCTGGGTAATAAAACTTTATATAACTTTATATTAAACTTTATATCATATCTATTTTTTCATTCAGTACATTTGGCGATGACACATTTTTTCGTGAACTTATCTGTTATTAATAATACTGTATTATCAACAAATACAACAAAATTAAATTTTATATAAAATACATAATATCCATGAGCTAATGATTTCACTTTGGTAATTGGAATCTATTATTAATTAAAAGAGAGAATTTAACATAAAGTAAGAAATGTTCTAATAATGTTTGACACTATTTACTGATTAATCATAACTATCCATCACTGTCTGAACAGATATTTTTAAATTCAATTGCAACCAGATCCAATATGGCGACATTGCGGGACATGCGAAAATCAAGAAATCATTTCTTAACAAGTAATACCAAAATTCACTTATGACATTTTTGGCGCTTTAAATAAAAACATATAAAAAACTGTCCTCTGCATAAGCACATTCGTTGCAGCCACATTCTGGGTGGAAACATGGCCATAGTTCTTAATGACATTCTTACCTGGTATGATAGCTATCAGGTTACAGGAACGCGGCATGTCATAGGAATAGCTGCAACTGCACTTCGCTATTGCGAAAATTTACAACTGGAACTATTATTGACTCCACAAGCTCTCGAGAGAAAAATCACACGATCCTAAAAAGCTGGACGTCTAAGATTGCAGGCACAAACTTATTATTTTGCCTTCAGATTTTACATTTTTAGAATGGGATCACATTGAATAGTATTCCCTACGAGGCTATGTGAGCCATACACAAGCCAAATCGATTAACTCCACATTTTGAATATTTTTTTTACAATTTTAGTGTCAAAGCACTTGACATACTCCTAACATTTTACATTCGTAATAAGTTTTCCAAATAATAAGGATCAATACCACTTAACAACAAAATTTTATTGGCCATCGAAAAAGATATTATTTATTTCAGAAGATAATCTAATTAGTTAAGTACTGTAACGTAAGTCCGCCAGCACACACTGCAGCATTGCAATCGCAGTGGGCGCTGACCAGTGCTTTGTAGATAACGGTAATTTAATGTTATCTCATCACAGAAAGTACGTAAACGAAATTAGTTACTTACAGTTCAACTTGTGCATTATTGAACGATTGTGTTTAGAAAAAAGTTATATCAAGATAGATGAAACTAAAAATAATTTTTTCATTCCTCCTATTAAACACGATTCTTATAAAATTTTAAGAACAAATTGACATGATGAAACCTAAAATATAGTTGACGAAGAAGACATCATTTATGTTGCTGAATAATCAATTTAATTTAAACAAAATAACAACAAAAATTGTAACAGTAACAGAACAGTTATTATTCATTTTTGCAAAAAATTGTGAGGGACGAACAGACCCACAATAAAGTGTTATTTTAAATTTTAATTATTGAAAAATTTAATCGGTTAAATTCGAGCGTTTTATCGAGTTAGGCTAAAAGCCATAAAAATTATTTCCCACGGAGTTTAATGGCAGAGCTTTGGACTCATTTTTGGATTTAACTGCCTTCATATTAGGAGTAGAAGTTAAAACTAAAGAGGTTTGTCGAGTCACGTGATTCGTTGCAAAAAAAGAGGTTTGTCGAGTCACGTGATTCGTCACGTGATTCGCGAATCTTTAGACGTAACGTTCCTTGTTGAGTCGGATCCAGTTAGTCAGGGATGTGTCACAAGGAACTTTTGATGGAGAATCCATATTGGACGCGAGACCCTTAACGGCAACCACCTGACCTCATGGAAAAAACCCAAGAGGAATAACGAGAAAAAGGAAAAAGGACCCCGAGGTCAGTCGTCATCCGAAGTCCCTCTACCAAAGTCGTCTTCACACAGTCCGCTCAACAAAGGTAGTACTCCCGAATTAAAACCGTGACCCAGGATTAACACCGAGAGGAAAAGATCGTGCCTGTTTAAGAATAACATCTCCACACCTTCGTGCCTCCACCCCCAGTGAACGGACAAGATCCAGAACCAGTAGATTGAACTTTCCATCGGCGTATCATCATCGGCGTGACCACAGATCCTTCGACCCAGAATCAAGGTATTTATCAACCCGCGATTCGTATGTAACTCTCTCTCTCAAACGTAATAGCATGATTAGGGATAGAATATATCTGTATTTTCTTTAGTTTTTATTAAAATTGTTATTTGTTAGAAAATATGGGGTCCGAGTAAGTCACTTCCTCGTCTCTCTCCTCACCTCTACTCCGAATCCAAGCGCTCACACGCTACCGCTCGCGAATCTTTAGACGTAACGTCGCGATTTCCGAGTCCCCCAGAGACTCGGTGGTGTCAGATTTAGATCTCCTGACGTGGTGTCAAAGAGACACCGACCCTACGGTCACAAAATATTTAATAAAAAATGTACGATAATGAAGTTTCTCTATAATAAAAAATCGATGTAGAAACTGAATATGATCTTACTACGTTTTTTACTTGCCATATCGATACTCTTTCAATCATACAAAAATCGTAATAATAATAACGATTATAATAGAAGAAATACGTACAAAATGACACACGGTTTTATTTTAGGTTCATAACTCTTTATTGATAAATCACAGCACTGTCACTTTCTACACCAATCATCTTTGGTTCTTTACCTATAAAATATACTAAACATTTACAATATTAAAATAATAGCTCTTAACTTTTGTAATTAATTATTGCTTTATGCAATGATAAATCAATCTTTGATATTAAAGAGAAAAATTCAAAATTAAATATAAATATTAGAAGAAATACGTACAAAATGACATACGGTTTTATTTTAGGTCCATAACTCTTTATTGGTATATCACAGCACTGTCATATTCTACACCAATCATCTTTGGTTCTTTACCTAAGAAATATACTAAACATTTACAACATTANGCACTGTCATATTCTACACCAATCATCTTTGGTTCTTTACCTATAAAATATACTAAACATTTACAATATTAAAATAATAGAAAAAAATATATAGTTAGTTTAATCGAGATCATCCAGAATCCATTTTGTCCATATACTGTGGACAAAATGATACATTACGTAAGGAGAAAATGACATACACGTAAAAACTATAAAATTATTGACAAAGTGCACAAATGAAACGCTTGGCTCTTTTAGAAACGTCAGGGCAAGAAGCGTGAGCCCAACGGAAATAATTTAAGCACCGCAACCAGTCTTCTCCAGGCTTAGATCGGGAAAAAAGATCATTGCAATATATGCATGGACAGTCTTCATCATCATCATCATCATGAGAGTTATCAGGAAAATTTTCTTCTTCGAGTAACTTTTAATAATGTTTCGTCTCCTTTTCTCTGGCAGAGCTTTGGACTCATTTTTGGATTTAACTGCCTTCATATTAGGAGTAGAAGTTAAAACTAAAGAGGTTTGTCGAGTCACGTGATTCGTTGCAAGTTTTTTGTTATGTGAAAGATAATAAAGTTTTATACTAAAATTTCTTTTAAACAACAATGAAAGACTTTTTTGGAAGCCATTTTTTATAATTAATAAAACGTTAAGAGGTTAATAACGATTGAAATTATGATTAAAATTGTAATCAATCTTATCTATAAGTTGTAAAATAAGTTATATCTAAGCACTTACTCTCGCTTTGTTATATTNAATAAGTTTTTAAATAATATGTAGAAAGGAAATAAAGTTTTATAATAAAATTTCTTTTAAACAATAATGAAAGACTTTTTTGGAAGCCATTTTTTATAATTAATAAAACGTTAAGAGGTTAAGGTAAGTTCCTTGACTAAGCTCTTATGGACTAAATGACATACCTATGTAATTATGTGCATTGTCTATGTATGTCGTTTTGTTCATATTACGTTATAAAAAAACAAAATTACAGTATAAAATAAATACAAAGATGTTATTTTTAATGAAAAAACTTATTTAGGTGCAACAACAAATTTTTGGGGGGATTGAAATAAATGCTACAGAAATAGATAAAATAGTGAAAAACTTACCATCTATACAAAAAAAACTTGTTATAAGGAAAAAAACTCGTAACGTATCAACGCTTGTCTTCGGCCATGACACCCGGGCGAATGAGAGGAGTGCGTTCACGTTTTGACAGATTAGTAAAAGCCACTCGGATAACGTGGTGTCGTGGTCAGTTGCGCGCTTGAGACCGCCAAATTCGAATTATGTTGCTTGTGTCATTTTGTACCTATTTCCCCTATATCTATGCGATTTTATACATTTTATATGTCGTTAAATAAAGCAACATCTACAATAATACATTCTACAATATTTATTCAAATTTATATTCTAAAAGAGAATTTTAAAAATGGATGTATATTACTTTGTCACTTTTCTCCACTTTTTGTTTTAGGAGTTAATCGATTTGAAAAGTAAAAAGAGTACATATAACACAAGTGTTTCGCATAAAAATAAAACAGCCAAAGTGATGCGTGTTGGTTAAAATATTCCTACGTCTTCTGCATGTCCTGAAATCACCATACAATGTTTAGTTGCATTTGGACTGCTAAATAACGATTAAAACTAATCAAAGTTATTAAACAGCTCTATCCATTGTTAAATTTAATTACGATTAACATTTAAAGTCAATACTGTTACGAAGCTTTTTATAACGAAACAATACTGTAAATTCGACAATAATTTTCCGTACATTATTTACAGCATACCGCGTATTTAAGATTTATTTGCGATAAATGAATCGGATTACAGTATTCTGCAATGACAAACAACACATCCATTTCTCAAAATACCTTCTGTGTAAATATAGCGATAGACTAAAATCCATGCTACGTTTTTATTTAAACACATCAGTCTTCCTTTACTTACCATACTCGTTGGATGTTTTGCAACAAATTAGACAGTAAGTTTCTGTAATTATCGTTTAAATACAGTATTAACATTGACATTCTAATTTGCATCAATAATGTTTTCTTCTATAATGATAATTACCATCAGTTTTAAATCAGTAGTTAATATAGAAGTTCTACTTATAGTTCTATTTTAATCACATTTTCTGTATACAGATATCTGAAAGAAAGACAAGAAACCATAAAATCAATGCAAAATGCGATGGACGTGTTCTGCGTAAGCAATCGATTAGGCCTAGGTGATTTAAGAAAAGTATGTCGAGATTTTATGACTGATACGCCAAGAATTAAGAACGTGTGTTATGTACATGACTTAGCATGCCAGGAGAACGATAGCAGATTATAATATTTATGCTGGAATATATTTAATTCGAAATGGCAAGAAATTCTCTCATCGAACGAATGGCTGAACTGTGAAGCAACAACCATGGATAGACTCGTTCGTAGGCCAATAAATTCATTTATTGAGGAAACAGACATCTTCACAATAGTTTTAAAATAGGCCAAGAAAAGAATTAATAATGAAAAATCTCTAAGGCAAGTCATGAAACCATTCCTTCCGTACATACGATTTCTGACAATGCCAGAATGGTTTCTGGAATCTCAAGTGTTCGTTGAACTGATCTTAATGGACGTAGAGAGAGATGCAATAAGATGTTACTTGCAAAATAAAGATTTCGACGAGACATGGTTTATTCCAGAGAGTGTTTGTGACATTACATGTCCTAGAAAACACGAATTACTCTCGTCCTGGTTCTCTTATGTGAATCGAAGTGCATACTTTATTAAGAAAGTAAGGAAAATGAACACAAATATTCGATTTATATGCGAAATAGTTGCTAAGGAAGATTGTTTTATCACCAAATTGTATCTTCCTATAAGACATTGGATTGAAGAAGGTATAACTGTAATCTTGAATTTTTCTGCTGACTTGAAGTTACGGACAAAATATTGTTTGAGAACAGCATGTAATTTATTGAGTATGAACGGATGTATTTTATTGAGTGATAGTATTCTTCGGATTAGAAAGTTTACATGTTATCGATTGATTGCTAAAATTGCAGAGACACATGTCATTGCAGGAAATTACATAACAATCAGTCCCTCGGCAAATTACTACAATCCGTTCGAAGGAATTCAATGTCTGAAAGATTTGCAGTTTGGATTGAAATTGAGAGATGAATTTGAGTACTTCTACTTTGATGTTATGCCCTACTTTTAAATACGGATACACAAATTAATTTTCCTCTATATTATATAATGTTAATCTCGTAAAATTTAAAAATTTATGTGTTTTAATTTCGAATAATTAAATTTAACTTTTACTGTCGAAGTTTTTTAAGTTATTTGTCAAGGCTACACGTGAATGCGCCACGCCAGGGTGACAACACTCTGTCTTTAAAGACACAGAAATCGCGATAGTAAACGTTCACGCGCGAGCGGTCACGTTCGTAGGCGGTCGGATCCGGGATGAAGGAGGTTGAAGAGACTTAAAGAAGTTCACCCAGTCAAGGATCAATATAAACATAATTACCCGTTTGTATTATAAAATACTATTTACAGAGAAAAATCATACATGTTATTTAGGATTTATAAGGGATTTTTTTTACATTATAACTATTGGCTATCGTTTCTGTATATTATAACTAAGAGCTATTCTAATTATCTGCGTGAGTCCTAGTCCCGAGAGAGAAAGAGTTTACATAGATTTGCGGGTAGGTAAATACCTTGGCAGAAGGCCCGATCAACTATATATATATACAGGGCCCGCTCTAGCGGTTACGTCGCCTCGGACAAAAAGACAAATTTCCGCCCCTTTAGAATATATATTTAAATAAAGATACATATTTTTTATATTCAATAAAAATCAAATCGTTTTATTTTCATTTTAATAAAAACACATATTTAGAAAGAAACATGTAACATTTATAATCAAGCGATACAAAACAGTAGAAATTAATTAAGAAATATCTGTACCTAGCCACAAATTGTTAACCCTTATGATTTTTTACATTTTTAAATGCTATTAAAAATGTATTATTGCACAAACAATCAAAATGTCATTATTTTGAAAATAAAACAAGGTAGGCCTAACATCAACTCCGCTAAAATCACAAAAAACTTTTTTTTTCTTACATTCAGTTCTGCAAACTTTTTTATTGTATCTTTTAAATTTATTCGATCAGCAATTTCATGCTCAATTGCCAACATGGCCAAACCATTAAGAAGATTTTGTATTGTAGTCGAACGTAAAAAGTTCTTATTAGTTTTAACTAAGGGAAACTCCTTTCGCCACTCGCTACAGCTATTGGTATCGTTAGCAATATTCTTAAAATAAGTACGAGTGTTTCCTCAGAAAATACTGTACTGTACTTGTATGTATTGTTTACTTGAGAATATAACAGAGAATAAACTGCCCAAATACCCTTAAACAAAGGAAAACTACGTACTTTATGAAGGCATAGAGCCTTTACTACATGAAAATAAAAATTAATGAATACACTGTGTACAATAATTTACCTGATAAGAAAGACCTCAGAAAAATACTTTATGAAAGGTTTAATACTTTTATAAAGCTGTCTATGATGAAAATTAATTATCTAAGGATTCTTTTGCCCTGTCAGGGTGTGGCCGAGTTATCCGGAGTGCCGGGTTATCGAGAGCCGAGTTTTCGAGGTTCTACTGTAATTGAGTATTTAACACATCAATATTTTTCTCACACTTACAGTCAAAATGGCGCCCCGGACAAATGTCCGGATTGCCCGTTCCTAGAGCGGGCCCTGCTTGTAGAGAACGTTATTTCGTAGTCGAGTTGATCGGTTCGAGGATGTAACGAATCGATGATTCGGAAGCTTTCAGGTAACAGAGGCGTCGTCGGATGAAGGAAAGTCACTAGGGAATGAGTAAATGGCAATCTTCGATGTGCGTTTAACAGTGCAATTAACTTGGCTGAGATCACACGCTGTAAGAAAGGAAGACCTTGTATTAAAGTCATCAAGCTTGTGGGAAAGACTTTCCCTAAAGTATTACATATCGTGTCAAATTTGACCCTCCGGAATTTTTGCAAATCTTCAAGTTTTAAGACCCCCCAATATAAAAGTAAAACAAAAATTTAAAAAAGAGGAATTCCGTGTGTGGAGGGGGCGTCTATTTTGTTTAATATCTCAGGATGGGGTAAAGATTACTAAACGAAGTTTGACACGGTAGCTTGTGTATAAGGGGCATGAATGCTATTAAATTTTGGAGTACGGAGGTCGCGGAGGGGAGATAGAGGGTCGTGTAGCATATCTCGAGTGAGATCGGACATAATGAAAATATTATTCGTTATTGGCATTTACAATTAAAAATACTCCTCTCTACCCTCGAAATTATCATCATAGAAAGGAAAATGGCTTAAAGTAAAAGTTATATTTTAATGGCATCTCACAACAGCGCCATACGTGATCCTTTCTTATTTTACTGTAAACATCGTATTGGAACTAGTACCTGTATATTGTATATACTCGCGCAATGCCGGAAAGATCACTTTAACATTTATCGGGGTGCATCCTTTTATATTTAATATGTATTATACATATTTTTAATGTTACATTATATAATACGCAGGGTGTTGAAAGGGTATTTTTAAGTAGTTTTAACACTTCCTTTTGGTGTTAGAGTCGATAAAGTCAGAATTTCCACTCAAAAGTGTAATAATCGGTTACTGTTATTGCTTTGGCAACTGGGCAAAACATTTACTGCTTAGCCACCCCACTGTCTAAATATAATAATTTGTAGATTTCTAGCATCTTTTATAACAAAAATATTTTACTTTTCAACTGGGGCATCTTTAAAAGGATACTGTAGGAAATTTGGCTATCATTTTAGGAATATAACTTCTGTTAAAATACATTATTTAATAAGCTGAGTTGGTTATAGGAGCCAAGTGCTTCGGACACAATTCTCTTGTCTTCAGAGCTGTTCTCCTATCTTTTATTATTTTGAAAAGTCGTTTGAACACCATTTTACATATGTTTTTACTTCACGTTTATACTTTTGTTTCCAACCTAGTCACTGCAAACAATATATTAATCAAGATACACCTTCAACAGTTTAGGAAAATTCAATGTTGGCACCTATAATAAAGCTTATGAAAAGTAAAATAATAACCTTTCAATATTATGTCAAACAATTCCTTTGAAAATATCCAAATATACTAAACAAATATTTTGAATATTAATTTCCACATCTCTCTAATTTCAAAGAAATTCTTTAACATAATAATATAAAATGTTTGTTATAGAATAAGTAACTTATTTATTGTATACAACTTGGTATTACAAATGATAATCCTTAAATAATTCGAGAAAACACAATACATTTTTTATCACTTATCTATATTTTATTACAAATGGATGTACAATCACAAAGTATACATGCCATATAATTACATTGTGCTTTAATTTAAACCACTTCTAGAATCAACCTCAATGAGTCTCTAAGGACTATAATACAGGAATAGATTCTACAATATATACAAGGTTGCATACACACAGGTGCTTGTATTCTCATGTATACCCGTGATGCATTTTATATAAAACGGTCTATTCGACAAAATCGTTAATGCAAGATCATATACGGAGATGACGCTAACTTTTGCACTCTAAATTAAATCGTATTTTAAATTCCCATAGTAGAAATTTATATTTGGCTATTGTTAGGCATCGGTGGAAAGAACTTTTTTATTTATTCCATAACGACATCTATAATATGTGCTTAATTAAGAAAAATATCAGTTTACGAGTCATAAAAAGTACTTATTTCTTGCATAATTTTAGCGTTTTTCTTGAAAACTGTCTTGTGGTGATAAGAACTATTGCTAATTTTCAGTAAACATGCTTATTTGTAATACTTTAAACTGTTGTAATATTGCAAATTTCCCTTTTTATCTTAAATATTTTCAATTAATTAAATTACAAATGACATGTTAAGTTCTACTCATTCATTCTATCAAACCAAATACCAGTTAAAAATTTACTACAAAGGCACACATCATTTTTTTAGTATTTTAAGGAAACAAATTTACAAAAAGAAAAAAAGAAAAATAAGGAACAAGTGAATGCAAACTTGTTTCCATGAAGATTTAATGAACAAGATTATGTGTGTATGTGTATATATAGAAAAGCCGAAGGATGATTCTTGGCCAGAGATGATTGGATTATGGCACTTTTTAACAATTTTTAAATTCTGTAAATATATACTGTTTACAGTTACGTTCATTTAGAATAGAATTACTTTTTATTGTAATTTTTGTTGCATATGAAAAGTAGAAAAATTTAATCGTCGGAAAGCTTTAGTGGTCTGTTCAGATTACAACAATTATAATACAAGAAATATAAGCTCTTAAATTATCAATTGGTCGTTAACTTGGAAGTTTGTATCAATTTATGCAAAAATCGAAATGGTTTCTTAAAAAAGATACAGGCAAATTTTGGTTTTTCTTTAAAAAATCTTTCTTTCCTTTTTTTTTTTAATTTATACATATCACAAAATAAGACTTAAGCAAACTTTATGCTTCTCAAAATATACAAGACAAACATATAAAAAAATAAATAACTTATGAAGAGAAAAATTAAATCTTAGAAGTGAGATTTACTAGTGCTCATTCATTCTCTACACACACATTAAAAGTACTTAAAAATGAGGAATAAGCAATGATAAAACTAATGCGACATTTAAATCAAAGCAAACGTACAGAACTCTTTAACTATTCGACACTTATGACTTACTAATGTATGAAGTATATATTCTGATCCACGGCATTCAAACCAATTCTGATATAAAAACTAAACTCATTTACAGTATATAAACATGTTCTTAGAAACCGTAAATACAAATTGACTATAAATTAAAAAAGCATAGAATATTTTTTTGTGATAAATATGTCAATAAGATATCACCGAGCAAATGTTGAAGTCTTGCGTCAATAATATCTATCGTGTCAAAATAATTCAAAATGAATTCTCAAACTGATTATCAAATTACAATAACTGACATTCTTAACCCCTTGTATTGAGTGGCAGTGTAAAATATCCTTAAAAAGTTACTATGATTAATATTTAAAGTATTATATATAAAAAACATAAATATTCAAATAAAAACGTTATCAAAGTTTTTATTTGAATATTTCTGTGAATAGTCAAGCAATCAACAAAAGATTAAGCATATTTTTGAGTTCATAAAGTCCACATTTTTCACAAAATAATATCTCCTCTTTATGGCCACTGCACAAGGGTTGAGAAAACAATCAATGTTTCAAGGAATATTCACAACTTACAACATACATTTCATAAGTAAAGTTTCACTCGGCGTTGCAAAATGTGGACTCGAGAAAACCAGACTAGCACACAAATGTACTGTTAACAATTTAAAGGCACGTATAATTGCCAGAAATCTATAATAATTTTAAAGGATGCAGTAGTTTGCAGCAATAGTTGTGTCTTTTATAATCATTGAAATTACATGCAAAATGTCATAAAAACATTTATATGTAATATATATAATATAAAAAAATCAACTTTATCAATCACGTTTCCATTCAAATTTCAGTCTCTTTCCGAGCAATGAAGAAACTGACATATACATATACAGTACATAAATATTTCCTAATAAAACCAATTTAAATAATGAAAACATAATCATAATTGGCTTAGGAAATATAATTCATTAAAAATGAATAAATATTGTAAATATAATAAACAATAATAAAAAAAGGCAATGTTTAATTTGGAGAGGATACAATATAATATTTTATATCGATTCTACACTTATAGATAGGGTTCTAGAGAAAATTGTCTATTGGACGAAGTATTCACAAGATCTGTCTAAAGTTTGACCATACAACACTATTACCCAAAATAATCAATCACAGTTGCCAAATGGAACTAGATGAAATGTATCACAAGGAAATAACAGTGCCTTACGAGATCCTAATGATGTATTTTTGGAAATAAGTCTTCTATATATAATTCAGTAAATCTAAAACACAACCTCAATTACTATCATACGCTATAACGAATCCTTGGCTATGTAGAACAAAAAGCCTTTTTTCCACTGCATCTTTATCTGAAATTAAACAATATATTAATCAAGATTGAAATAATAATATATTAAATTATTTATTATTATTATTACACTATAAAAATATGTGCAAAATCTTAGAGGAAAAATTTATAGATATGTTCTTATATTTAAACTGAATAATTTTAGTATCAGATTGAAAAGTAAATTTTTTTCTACATAATACTGTATATACAATATATTATGTTTTTAACATTACAAATTGTTTGATTTTCTGTTCTAAATTAATAATATAAAAGCTGTTGTCTGTCTGTGTGTGAGTGTGATTTTCTTATAACTCCTGCAATTTTTGTCCAATCCAGATGAAATTTTGGTTATATTTATTTTATGTTCTGATGGAAAGTATAGGCTCCTTATTTTGTGGAAATATTAGCTATAGAATAAGCATTTTATTGATTTCAGATTGGTGATCGCACTTATGTTGCAGTGATGTCAGTGACCTCATTTAGTTCATGCTTGACAAGGAAAATTCCCTTAACTTGCATTTTTAATTATTTTGTCAAATGACACATTTTAAACTTACTTCATTAAATTTAAACTTTAAAAAAGATAGCCATATTGTGTCACTTATATAATAAATTTTTTTTAAATCTTTCTGTAGTGACCACATAATGTTCTATTATACAATTGGAAGTAATGATCTAACAAGCCCATTATTTAGAAAGTGTTATTACTCATCTAACTAACATATGTACAATTCATCTTTGTTTTATCAACGTGAAATTAAAAAGACTCACTATTTTGTAAAAAAAAGCCTAAGGCATAAAAGCATAAGAGTAAAATTTGTCAGGTAAATTCTAAATCTAAAATAATAATAATAACAGATCTCTGAAGGCCATGAAGTCCAAATAGCGCAGAATTGAATTTGTCAACGGCTGCGGAAACAGCATCACAATGTTAAACTCTAGTATAAACTACTTAATATGTAGAAATATTAGCAACGTTTCCCAAATTTCTTGAAATCACTACTCTTCTCAATTCTTCAATCTCTACTTTCTCATAAAAGGTATCCCATCATGCTTGATGAGAAAATTTCTAGTTAATTATAACAGTGTTCCCAGATATTACAATCAATTTAATTTTCAAGATATTGAAAAAGAAACTTCTTTAACTGAGAAAACATTAGTGCAGTAGCAGATCATTTTGTTGTAAAAACACATTGCCCTTGATTGATGTCATCATTTGAAAGTTACTGTAAATTTAATATTTACCTAGATAAATATTTTTAAAATTCATTTTATTTCCCTAATGCAATGATTCATATCTACAACTTTCTTGTATAAAATAAAATATATAAAATAAAATAGAATGCCTACTGGGAAAAGATAACAATGAAACTTCCTAAATACTACAAAAATAAAAGATAACTATTATGTAAACATGAAAACTTATAATACATGTAAAAAATCTGTATAGGGATTTTCTGTATATTTTATCTACATATCTATTTTGTAATTCATAAAAAGATCTGGATTTCAATAAATCCAAATAAAAAATTTTTCAACATTTTTCACATTATAAAACAGAAAAACAAAAAAGATAAATAAATAAAATAAAACCAGAGAAGTACTAAAGTTCTTTTAGGAAGTGTCTCTTTACACACTACTATTTGCTGAATGCTAAGCAAACATTTGGCAAATACCAAGTAGTGTCGATGATTTATTTGTGACAAATGTTTGGTACTTCCTGTTCCCAATTGTAGATAAAATGTGCTGAATCAAAGGAGATAAATATTCGTTTCCGTGCATTTGTGTACTTCTTGTTTTTAGTCAGTATTGCTATTTTAGCCTTTTTTTCAACTAATTCTAGTTTTATTTTTAAATATAAACATCCAAATCTCAGTTACATATTAAAGCCAAACAATTACTGGATTATATTAGGCTACATTATTACTACTACTATACTACTACCATAAGTAATGGAGTATGATTATATCTAAATAAGTTGTAGAAGTGAGGATCAAAGGTCCAGGTACTGTAACTGATAACACAACCAAACAGTAAGTGGGACTTGCAGGTTCCCACTTACTTTGGGGAAGAAAAGAATTGGCTCCACTTTGGGTCAAATGTTTTTTCTCCCAGAACATTCTAATTATTAAAATATTAATTTAACTATAATTAATAAATTTAGCAAGAGCTGGCATCTGATGCCTGCCTCTAGCACCAAATTACTTAGTATTTAATTAATAATAATAGTAATATAGCCTGATATAATCTGACAATTGTTTGTCTTTTATTTTTGAAATTAATTTAACTTTTTATTTGGCTTATAGTTTAAATATGTATTTTATTTTTTGTATGTAGTTTTTCCTGGTCTTTTTGAAATATGGTTTTGTTGTATTGTTTTTAAAAACTTTCTCATATATGCTCACATTTTTCTGCTTTGGTGGAATGATATCATCCACCATCATCATCATCATCAACTTTTAGGCTTTCTTTCATTAACAAATATGAACTACTCGTAACTAAAAGCAGCAGCACAAAATTATTATTTGAAAATTGTTCATTTTCTAGATCTTGAATGAACATTTGTTCTTGCAATGAACTGATGCTTGGCAGATAATTGAATGTGTGTATGTGTATGCTTGCCAAATGACAAACAATTTGGCAAATGGCAAATAGCAAATGCGTAGACATGCCTTACATTCAACATACAAAGAAATAGGTATTTCATAAAATAAAATTAGGTAAGTTTAACTAAAATAAATAAATTTTAGTTTAGGAATAGTAATCTATCATCTATTAATATGCTAAAATTCTATGAATGTCTGGAAGATCCAGCCATGTTTAAACAATTTCAGGGACATTGGTAGTTACTTACAGACAGACAATAATCTGTAAGAATTTGAAAATTAAAGGATATATATATAACACTTTACATATAAATTACATGTAACTGATACATTCCCAATAATATTTTGTATTTGTGATAACTTTCAACTACTGCTGCTCATGTACAATATGCATCCCTTAAAACAAAATTTAACAAATCTCAAAGATAATGTCTACTAGTACATGGTATTTTTATCCTATAAGTGCACCAGCTTCAAATATATGAATATATAAAACTTTTTTTAGACTCCCCCCTATAAATTGTATTGCAAATGTGGAAGAATGGGCTTTCTGAACTTTCTATAAAAAATGTAAACAATAAAATAAATAAATAGAATTGAAACAACACTTTGAAATGTTTTCCCGATGAAAATGAATAATAATAATAATAAGTTTCAATAAAAATAATAAAACGTAAATTGAATTTTATCATAACGAGTTTGTTTGAATTTCCTTTCTTTGAGATCGCAGCCATGCACGACGGGTAAGCTAGTATAATATAAATATTCATATAAAATTATTTCATTATTTGTAGTTTTTATGTAAAAGTTTATATTTTCTGATTTATAGTAGCAAATTATGTAATTAAAATATCAAGCATAATATAAACAGATGCAAACAAAAAAAATAGTAAAAATATCAATAAATCTAACTTCATGTTATAAAATTATAACTGTAAAACTTATAAATATTTACAGCATAAAATATTTTCTTCAACAACAAAAAACAAACTTAGATAATTATTTTAATAGGAATGTTTTTAAATCTAGTTACAAAAGATGGTTATAATCAAAATTTTGTTCAGATCAAATAAATTTTGGATTTTTGAAATGTTTTTGATTAAATTGTAATGTAAGAAATAGCAGCTTAAAATAACCAGAGAACTTCAAAATAAAATGAAAAACTTTCAGAGATATTACAATATTAAAAGCTTGATTAATAATGAATTTTTCATTAGCTTACAAAACTTATAAGTGAATATGACTAAAAGGAAAAAAAAAGGATTACAGATATTTTAAGTAACTTGGATATTACAGTCACAAAAGTTTATGAGTTATTAAATTCAATGTGCTGATGTAAACATATTAGTGTTTGAACAGTATATTTCAAATAAAAAAAAGGTTTAAAACAGCAACTAATTCTGATAAATTTTTAGCATAGATTAGTTAAGTGTAAAAAGCTGAGTATTTTGACATTATTATTATTTGTTACTACTTGATGTTTGATTGGGTATTATACTTACATTTAATTAGAAGCTTCCTATCTTCTTCTCGATTAATTTGTTGAGATAGACTATGCAAAAGAATTTGAGCTGTTTGATATCTTCGAAAGCACTGTAAAAATTTCAACATTATTAAATCTATTTATTTATATATTTTTTATAATTTATGAAATCTGATACATACTTCTTCTGGATTTCCAAATAATTCTTCCAAAGCAGCCGACTGACACTGTAAATGATGAGTAAAATATACATTCATATATATATATATTTAATTATTAAAATAAATATTCTCAATATTTTTTAAAATTTACCATATCTATGGCATAGTTATAAAGTAACCGATCAGCTGTTATTGCAGAAGAATTTGGATCGACACCGGTCGAATGTAAGATACCAGATGTATTCAGTAATTTACACATGCTGAGACAGTAATGAAAATGTTCTTTCATTGTACGTAATACTTTGAAAGATAGAAAAAAAATAATGCATCATTATTATTTTCATAATTTTAACCAATTATTAAAAACTTATATTAAATATAGATGGAGAATTTTATATTAAAATTACCTGTTCTAACAGTGGAAGAAGGCTGAAGATTACCAGCCTGCACTTCTTGGCGAGATAACTGAAGAGATGATGACAATAGTTGCAGAGCCCGCATGTATAGAACTAATTGTTCGGCTCTTCTATACCCTTCACTTACTAATGATATTTGTTCAATATTAGTCTAAAATACAAAAGAAATTTACAAAATTATAGTTATAATTTGATATTAACTTGTTTGTTGATAAAAGTATTATCTATCATTTTCAATCTATTATTAACTGTAAATTTCATAATCAATTATTTTATAATCTATCAAAATTTTTGTAAATAAACTGCTTAAACAACATAATAAAATTGTTACAAACTTCTCAAATTACAACTAAAAAAGTAAAATTTGTTTATGAAGTTTATTACATACTAGCTGCAAGATCCCGCTTCGCTGGGTTTTTATTTGTATGTAATAGTATAGTTTTTTTATATATATAAAAGACTGTTTTTCTAAGTAATCTAGAATCTAGCTGCAAGGACCCGCTTCGCTGGGCAAAAAGTAACGATAGTGAAGATTAAGATAATTACATTAGAGCTAATCTTACCCGTTTTCACAAAATGCAAGAATTAGGTCCCCCGTTTCCAGACTAATTAGAGAATTTTTACGTTTAGTCAAACGAACTGTTTTCAACGTTTCTGGAACGTTTTCAATCGTTCTATAATCGAACCAATTCGAATTTTATGTTTAATACGAACAAATTCGAAAAAATCGAACAAAACATTCAAAATAAGGTGTGTTTCAAATTTATACGGACACGAAAAAATTAAACTGAAACTCAAATTCTCTGCATTAAGTGACAAATGTTTTATTAAAAATAACATAGATTTACTTGTTTCCACACTGTTTTGTCACTGAAAATAATATTTTTGAAAGTTTTGTACAAAAAAACTGTTACATATTTATCCGGACAGGTACCAATTTCATGACTTAAATAGATTATTATTTAGTTTCAAGCATTGAAATACGCAAATTAGCTTACATATCTAATTGTAATACAAATTTTTTATGTTGTTCAATGTTCTAAAATGGGTAGAACAAAGAATTTGTCTGATTATGAAAAAGGGCAGATTGATGCCTATAAATCACAAGGCAAGTCAATAAGAAAAATTTCAGCATATATAAATCGTCCAAAATCAACTGTTGGTGATTATTTATCAAAAAGATGTGGCTAGGATGTACCAAAATTCAAGACAGGTCCAAAACCCAAGCTTATACCTGGAGATTGAAGACAAATCATCAAGGTTTGCTCCACAAAACAAACGTCAGTAAGAAAAATAAAACAAGAATTAGACTACCTTGTAGCAGCACAACAGTGTGGAGAGTTTTAAGAAAATCTCTAACGTTAAAATTCAGAAAAAAAGCTACAATGCCACCACTTTCATTAAAGCACAAAAGTGACCTACTTAATTGGGCACAAAAACACATGACATAGTCCAAAGAATGGATTGAAGTTTTGTTCAGCGATGAAAAACAATTCATCTTAGATAGTCTAAACGGTTGAATGTATTACTGGCAAGATTTAAGAACCGAAAAACAAATATTATCAAAACGCCAAATGGGTGGGGGATCAATAATAGTGTGGATGCGTTTGGATTCACAGATTTAGCATTTATAACTCAAAGAATGAATTGAAAGAAGTATCGAGGCATGCTTGAAGATCATTTATTGGAAGCTGGACCAAATATTTGTGGACCAAATTGGATCTTTCAACAAGACAATGCCCCTGTGCATGCCTTTAAATCAACAAAAATGTGGTTTAAACGTAAAAATATTAATCTGATGACATGGCCTGCTAGAAGCCCTGACCTGAATCCGATGGAAAATCTTTGGGGGATGATGGTTCGTACAGTTTATGCCAATGGAAAGCA